GTTTCTCGAAATAAATTTTAGATGGAAGCGTTAACTCTTCATCAAGTGCAAGAGATCGATATAGTATCAAAAGACAAGAAACGCTTAAATATGGACCATTCAATGGATGACTCGATGTTTGCGGATATGGCGTTGGAAGACCGACCAGCAGAAAGGAAGGACAAAAGGGTTTGAAAAAAATGCTGAAAATTTTCGACTGTGGCCTCTATTTCGCGTTTAGGGCAGGAAGAAAGGTGCTGATGGAATTGAAGAGTTGTTGGAGTCCGCGGACGGAACAGTGCCGAAATTGACTAGGGAGGAAGTAGCGAATCTTGATAGAGAGCACATTAAGTTTACGCTCACCAACATCGAGCAGAAGCAGTTGACTACTCGTACTGACATCAATATGCACGTCATACAGGACTACAAGGCGAAGGTAGGCGTCATAACTTTATATTCGGGATTTTGATTGAGTTTAGCTTGAGTTTAGCTGGCTAAACTTGAAACAGAGCGAGCTGCCCTTGATGCTGCTAGAGAAACTATGGAAGAACACATGGCTGTGCTCGATAACATGCGAAGGGATCGTCTGGTGGAGTTTATGGTACGGAAAATCAGACTGTGCGTTTAATGTGATAACTCTGTTATCTGAATGTGTTTAGGACGGATTCGAGAGAATTGGACTTGGTCTAAAAGAAATGTATCAAATGATAACACTTGGTGGAGACGCATGCTTGGATTTGAAGGACTCTATGGATCCGTTCACGCAAGGAATTCAGTTCATGTATGCATTTTTGCAAGCTTTCATGCGGAAATATTAGTCTATAGCTGGAATTTTGTGAGAAACATAGAGAAAAATCGTCCAATGAATCCTAAGAGGAAATGCAAAACGTAAGGTTCCGGCGAGATTCGAACTCGCGTTACTGGATTCAAAGTCCAGGGTGTTAACCGCTACACTACGGAACCACTGGTGGTGAGGCGCGAATTGGCGCACTTGTGGACATCGATTTAATCTGTGCGGCAATAGTGCAACTGTTGACGTGAGCGATGAGGAGCACTCGTAAATATATCTGCATTCACTTGCAGAAAATTATACAATTGCGGATAAGGCTGCACTGTTTTCTTTTTGTTTCACTGAAGAGTTCTGATTCTCAAACCTTTGTTTTCACTACGGAAGTCTAAAATATGCTTTTCTTAACTGCCTTATATTAAAATAATCTTTTCGTTTAGGAAAATTATACGTTCAGTTCTTCTTTTTTCATGATCAAAGATGGAGACATGATTTTCAGGGTTCGACCACCGAAGAAGTCATGGAAGCAGATTGAGAATCTCTCTGGAGGAGAGAAGACGCTTGCCTCACTTTCGCTTGTGTTCGCTCTCCATCACTATCGGTGTGTTATTTAAAACTCCTTCAGCTGTGTATTATCGTCCATGCTACATAAGTTCTAATTTGACTTCCGGTTTACAGGCCCACACCTCTGTATGTTATGGATGAAATCGACGCTGCTCTGGATTTCAGGAATGTGTCGATTATCGCTCACTACATAAAGGTTTTACGAGTCATTCTCTTTTACCATGTCTTAAATAACGTGAATATTTAAGGATCGGACAAAGAACGCACAATTTATTATAATCTCACTGCGAAACAACATGTTCGAGCTGGGTGATCGGCTAATAGGGATCTATAAGGCAGGTTTTGCTTTTTGATAAGATGATTGCGTTTTGATATCTTAAGTAAATTTGGACGAAATTTCACTATAACAGGATTATACTTATTCAATTTAGACCTTTGATCGCACACAGTGTGTTGTTATTGAT